AGAAATTGTATGAAAATTTATGAGAATCATTTTTACCAGGGATGACATATGTACGCTTTTAAATGGCCATTTAACCGTTGTACTATTCTATACTTGTGCTCGTTTGTCATGCCCCGTGTTGCCGGGACGCGAAAGAGTTCGGAATCGGAGATGCGGGCGCGGCAGGGTGTGTGGCGGTGGAATGTAATAAAGTTTGTAGCCGCTACTTATATTTAATATATAAAAAGGCTTTATTTATAACCGTACTTAGGCGTGTTTAGTTATTACTCCCGAGTTCTTATAGTAATGTACAAACCGCGTGTCGGTTGCGTATGTCGCGGCGAGAGACCGAGGTGTTAAGTCTATGGCGGGCGGTCTTCTCCGCTCTTTTATAATATTGTGTAGTCTTGTCGGAGGGGGTGCCTGGCGACAAGGAGATTACCATATTTGGTAATTATTTGGTGTGGTTCGGCACGAAGTCCGAAATGCGGAATGTGCAAGGTGATGCTTAACGCAGCAGTTGCACATCCGCTTCCTCGTTGTAGCGCAGTCGAAACAGTTCCTCCTGAAGCGTTCCAACGGCGCTAATACTGTTCGCGATTATAACACGTTATTTCTCTATTATTGTTGCTTTTTTATAAAAAATGAGTAATACAATTTTAAAATGTAAACATTTTTTTTTATTCTGTGTATGTGTACAATTATTGCACGATATAATTATCTTGACTCCTCTGCAGCAGTTTTACATGGTGTGTATGTGAAACTGTCCCATTTAATAACGTACATATGGCCTTTGATAGAATTAAATAGCCTATCTAGGAAACAGTATCTGCGCGCAATCTGCCGTCAGTCTGACGTCAGAGTCTGTTGAAAGGCTCTGCGCGCAGTCTGTCACCAATTTGTCGTCAGAGACTGCTAAAACAGTTTCTGTGTACAGTCTGTTGCAATTCTGTCAACAGAAACTGTTGACAGACTGCGTAAAATCTGCTCGCACCGGTTTGGCTATCTGGGTATATATATATATATATATATATATATATATATATATATATATATATATATATATAT